GAAACAGGATGCTTGAATCACTCAGATTATTTTAATGAAGCAGAGACTTCTCAGACAGCTGGGACAGGAAGCCACGTGGTTCGATGAGACACCATTGTGCCCTGGCACGTTCCTCAGGCTCCCCACCACCAGCAGAGAACAAGCACCTGTTTTGGGGTATCTTATGGCAGAAAGAGGATTAGTCTGGCCACAAAAAGACATGGTCCCAGTTGCAGCTCGCCATCAGCTAGCAGTGCGTCAGCTCTCATGGGCTTCCTGTTTCTCCAACATGAAAAGGAAATGATCAAATAACATACCTGCTTTTTATGATGTTTAAGCAAAAGCTTAAAAGTGCCTTGATTAATCAGCTCCATTTACTTTTCTGACAAATATCTACTGTACAGCCTTGCTTGTGATACAGGTGGTCAACAGAAGTGCTTGGGGATTCCCAACACTGGAGCCTCATTTTCCCTCACCTGCCCGTCTAGGGCCACAGGTGAGCTCCTACTCCCTCAGTGTAAGTACTGATAAGTTAGGTAATTCTCTTGACAAATGTTTGTGGGGAGTGGCTGCCTCAGGGCCCCACCAGCTGTGGCAGGGGTATAGGAGGTCTGCGCACAGGCTTGTTGCTACTTCTGGGAGGTCCACAGGCTGGACACAGAACTCCTTAAAGCGTTCTCCACTTTCTGAAGAGATGCTCCAGGGGTTCATAGCAATGACTTCTCAATCACAGTATTGCTGTAGATCAATTTCCAATTTAGGAGTGGGTGGGGGCAGAGAAGAGGGAACAAGAGCACAGAAGTGATAGCAGTCAGGGGAATTGGCACCGGCTCTGGCTTGCTTCAGTTAGTGACTCATGTCCACTGATGGAGACTCCTCACCATTTCATATTTCAGGGACAGTATTTCTGGTCATTTCTTCTGTCAAATCTGTGATTTCTGAACGACCCTCTGTGCTGTTGTCACTGTCACCAGGTTTGACAGGTGAGTTTCAGGTGACTCTTTGTCTACTAGTCTGTGCCAACACCTGGGTGTGTCATGACATCACAGAGGCTTAGGGATAGTGGACCACATAGGGTCCCATGCAACATGGAGTTCTCAAGCATCAATATTTAACTCAGGTGGGACCTCTGTTATTTTTAGATTTATGGCCAACTTTTTTTTTTATCAACTATAGTTTGTACAAAGAAGGGGAAAGAGAGTTTGAACTCTAATGGGAGGACTGAAATTACAGATTACAACAACACATACAATTCTAACCTTCATGTGAGTGACTCACAAAATGTTCACATTTGCCCTGGCATTCCCAGCCACCTTTCTGCCCTGGCTGCTACGCCTACCTATGCCATGCATTTGGCTCCTGCATCCCGAGACCCACATTTACTCTTTGGCAGAACATGTCTTGGCATGTGTGCTGGTTGCACAGGGAGAATAGGCATATGGGCAGAGGGTGGGGGAGGCAGCCTGCTGGGAGAAGTGGCCCTCCAGCCAGGCTTAAAGCAGGAGGCTCCCCCATTCCTGTTTTTACCGTGAATTCAAACCACAGGCACCCCCATAAATCATCCTGCCCCCTTGAGAAATCAAATGCATGGCAAGGAGCAAGTCATGTCTGTTTGTCTGTCTGCTCTGTGAGATGTGGAATGTCACAACACTGATGAATCCATCAGAGCTACCAGAGCTGGGGCATTGTTCACCATACCACACAGGGGCCTCTGCGTTCTCCAGGCAGAGAGACAACCATTCAGGGACCACTTCCTACCAGCTGGGTTGTAATGTAGACCAGAAGAGATGGGGCCTCCTCCCCCAGTGCGGTGACCCAGGAATTCCTGTTTCCTCCTTGGTGGTGTCTCTCTGTGCTCCTTGCTGCCCAGTCAGCAGTTCCTGAGTGGCAGTGTGTCTCTCACACTAGGCCCTCACACCAGAGTGCAGGTTACTGCTGATAACAATCCACTGACAAACCCAGCGTGAGAGCAGGTACACACGCTGGCACAGGAACCCGCCATCCGGGCAGGCCTGCTCTGTGGGACGTACATAATGCTGGAGGACCCACTTCTCACAGACTGGGACTCAGGCCGGGCTGTCTGCCAGGCCTCAACACCCCTCCTGCTGCCCCACACAGGATGTGGGTGTTCCCAGGGACAGAGCCCTGGGAGGAGCATGTGGTAGCCACCTGGCCTTTATCAACTAACTGAACGTCCCAGAGTAGGAGGGAGGGATGCAGACTTACTCTGTTGCAAGGACAGCATGTGAAATGGGAGATGATGTTGCAGAAAATTCTGCAAGAACAATTAGCTTCGAAGTGTGTCTGGTGGACACTGGTGGGTGGCTCTGACCAACACCAAGCCTCTCCACCCCTCAGCCTCGTCTCATGCAATGCTTTCGTCTCCACTGACCTTCTGACCAAGACCCAGCTCCATCAGTTCCTGAACCTGTGTAGGCCCAACCTGCTCAGCAATCCATGGCCATGTAGAGCTGGCCAGCATGGTCCCGGACCCCACCAGCTGCATCCCCATCCCACTCCTCCACAGAAAGCAGGCCTGCCCCATGTTCCCGCGGTGTCCTGCAGTGCCCACCACACTCGTCACACCTGTCATGGTCATCTTCACATCTTTGTCCACTAGCCATTGTTGACAGCCCTCCCTCCTTGTCCCCACAGAAGCCGCATGACACAGGACCTCTACCTGGTGGCCAGGGGCTGCACACCTCTGTGAGAACCAGGTATTTTGGCTTTGCTTTGTGTACAGAATGACCCCTGAGCAGCCTGTGTTCTCCAGAACGCCAGTGCCTGACACCACAGAAATCCAGTTCTGGGGCCAGAGGTTTCCTGGGCCACCTAAGGCCACACAGCCAGGCCTCAATCCCCACAGGGCCGGCCTGCTCCTGGCTTGCCATGATGCACACCTGGGGCCCTGCTACTGGGTCCAAGCCAGCTCTGTCTCCTCAGCCCCACTTTCTAATAGGCAGGCACCTTCTAGCTGAGGCGAATTCCCATCTCCCCCATTCTGTCTGGTCCCTGGATGTTTTCCAGAACTTTTAATATGCTGCCTCTTCCTGTGTTTCGGGGAGGCCTGGGCAGAACCCCCAGTCTGCCGTTACTGGAAGTGTCCCATCTCTGTTCCGGGGCATTTCCTTGGATGTGTCCTGTAGAGCACACATGAAATTCTGTTATGTGGTTGCTCCTTTGAATTCTGTGATCTAGTTCTCTTAGAAACTGTATTTCAAATTCCTCACAACTCCTTCTGGTGCTGGGGTTCCTGCCAGCAGTCTGGTCTTGTTCATGGATACATTATCACACTGGGCGGCTCCAAACGGTCTACTAGCTTAATAGTTTTTAAAGTTCTCACTCATTTCTAAATTAGCACCATCACATCTGAGGCTGAAAATCATAGTGCTGTCTGTGGTGCTCATGTCCTCACATCTGCAAAGCGCAGATGCCCCAGTGCCATCCACTTTTACAAGTGAAGAGCAAGTTTCAGGGCATTTGCAGTGAACTCGGGCTGCATCGCATCTGCCAGCCCTATTTTTCCTCATTCCTGAAGGGTAGACCTTCAGTTTGCAAGGTCACTTTCCAGGGGTCCTGCAGGTCACCTATAGGCAAAGAGGAAACTACACATGGATGAAAACAATCTAAAGATAAATCAGAGTTCCATACATTCATGAGGTAAGTGTTTCTGGGTCATGAGACAGTGCTTGTTTCGATTCTGCTTGGTTTCTCTCTGGGCTAACTCCTTCGTCTCCTTGGGTGGAGTTCTAGGAAAGGCAGCCCTAGCTAGCAGGTGTAAATGCAGAGTGAAGAGCCTCTTGCTTTACATCACAACATGCACAGCTGTTGCAGGGGCACAGTCTTCTCTGGACACACCCTGGGTTGGGGGGCATGTGTGACCAGCACGTGGCAGAGGAAGGTGAGAAGACCATGCCAGTGGGCCCACTCCAGAGGTGCAGTCTGTCTCTGCCTGCAAGAACCCTATCAGCAAATACCACATACTTCACTGACAGCAAAATACAAATGCATCTGCTCAGCATGAGCACATAGCAGTGCGGCAGTTTACCAGCGTGCTATAATTAAGTGAAGGGGCACTGCGGGAAGGGAAATCTATAGTAGCTGTTAGGAAAACCCCAAGCAGCAATACTTTGAGCAGCTATGAGTCACTGTTCTCCAGGAATAAACACGGCCCAGGCAGAGGACTGGGCACTGTGGTTTTGCACAGACCTGTTATCAGTGGTTCAGCACAGTCTCATAAATGGGGGGACCTGATTATTCCTTGGGGCTTTCTGCCTCTGATGGTGGTGCTCCTGACACACTATTCAGGGGTCCTAAAGCTACAAATATGTCATAGTCCCAAAGCTTATCCACGTGTGATATTTAGAATGTCACCAGTGCTACTTCAATTCCCAGCTGACTCACCAATGAGGCCAAATCTTGTGTCTTTCCAAAGAATCCTTGTATGCATACATCACACCATGTATCTAACATAGCGATGATGAACTTGGTAATGACAGGGGCTTTTGGGGTGAATAAAGAAGAGCTACTATTTCCTGCATGGCTGCATAGGTCAGCAGCCCTCGCCTGAACAGTGCTGAGAGGCAGGTGATGCAACTGCAGGTTTGGAAAGAGTAGGCATCAGTGGGCAGTGTGACTCCTTGAGTTCACAGAGTGGGTGAGGGAGGGCAGTTAGATTCACATCAGGCCTTATACCCTGCAGCCAGGCCCTGCCCAGCTCAGGAGTGCCACTGCCTCTCGGGCACCACCCTGGGCCAGGCACTGGCCAAAACCCTCCTTTGGGCGCATCCTTCATGAGTCACACGATGGCTGCCGCATCAGGCCCCCTCCACACTGCTGTGCTTGTCCTCATCCCACCAGGCTATATCTTCTTCCCAATACCCATCTGTGTCCCTGACAGCTCCCATCTGGATGGGGTGGACTGAACACTCTGGCAAATGTGGTGTGTGTGAGCCTGTAACACCGGGCAGTGAGGGGAGTTAGGGTGGGGAGAAAACGCACTTGGAGGCATCTCCTGTGTTTGAAACTGCAGGTTCCACCTGCTTTTATTACCATGAGAACCTGTACTCTTCTCAGATATAAGCAACCAGCTTCCTCTCCAGTCTTCCCACCTTTGCTCCACACTACTCGCCCTATTCAGGGAGGATGGGAACATTCTTGCTCATGCAGGACACTGGGTGATGAAAAACATGTAGGAACTTGTTCCTGCATCTTAGAGATTGAAGTCTGATATTTTTAGATAAGGGACAGAGCAGGGGTCATCTCAGTGATGTCACAGCAACCTGGAGGCACAAGATGACTGCCTCCTTATCAGAGCCCATGTCAGCTCAATTTCTACACATGCTGGACCACAGAGCCATGGGCCTTGGGGAGGAGGAAGAGGAGATCAGGGTTGAGGCACAGGGTGCTGACCTGGAGGATACAAGTGCCCCACCGCCCAGTACACAGTATTTAGACTTGCTCCAGACAGAAACTCACTTCCTAGAAGAACAGCACGATAGGTCTGGGCAACAGAAACAAAAGTAAGCAGATTGTAGGGAAGCAGCAGCATGGCTCCAGGGAACACAGGAAAGAAAGGGCCAGGGTGGGGCAGGGAGACGGCAGAGGTGTCAGTGCTGCAGCCAGTAGGCCAGGGCTCACACAGGACCCATTTCAGCAGAGAGCTGACAGAAGCCAGCCTACAGGTGATCCATGTGCAATAGGTGGATGGTCACAGATGTAAAGTTCCTTCCCCCATCTACCCAAAGCTGGGCCTGAGCCAGGACCCAGACTCTATGCAGTACTTTTGTTTGTGCTGCCTTATTAATTGAAAAATTGTACACATAAGGTAAGTATAAACCATTCAAACCAGTGTACAATAAAAGAGTTGAATGTTGGTGGTGACTACTTGGATGTCACTGATACCTAGACCTTCAAGATCTCAGCATATCTGAGGAAGTTCCTATCAGGTAGGAAGGGAGCTCTCCCTAAAGTCCCACCACCCCACTTACCTTCCACTTTCCTCCTGCCAGGGCCAATCAAGCTCCCTGGAAGGACGAAATTACAGAAACAGGTAGGATTTCAAAGGAGGTGGGCATGTCCCACAGGAGGGGGCCCTGGGGCAAGCAGAGCCCTTTTGGCTGTGCCCAGGCCAGTGTCAAGGCGGTGCCATGCAGGAGGCTCCTGTGGAGTCTCTCTATGCTCCTCCCCCAAAGTTTGACATAGAAGCAGCAAGGCAGCATGGCTTCCACACTGGCTGCAAGGTCCACAGTATGGGCTCACGGTATGTCCAGAGGGGAGACCAGCCAGTGTCTTCCTGCCCTTCTCAAGTCCAGCAGCTTGGTTTGTCAAGTGTAAGCCACTTTTGTTTGATTTATTAATTCTAAAACATCATGTAATTAACTTCATGTTTGAGGGCTTTTTACATTTAAAGAAGCCACTCTTAGGCAGGAAAAGCTGAGGTTTCACAACCTCCCCTTCCAGGGTTGCAGGCTGTCTCCTCCTGGGTCTAGCAAGTTAAACACCTTCTGCCCGAGGCCTTTGCATCGCTCTGGGCACCACCACTGGTGGTGGCAGAGTTCCGATGTCCTCAGGGCTGGAACATGTGCCCACCGCTGGCCACCTGTGGCGAGAACCAATGCCCCGAGGCATTTGTACTTCTGGACAGAAGTGAGCCATGTTTCCTCTGTGCCTGAAAGAAGCAGAACTTGGGCTTGTTTGTTGGCAAGATACACTGGTTCTGATGAAGGATGCGGTCTCTTGCTACCTTTTCACTCTGAAGAAGGTCTGCTTCTGGACCGCAGCAGGTGAAAGCAGTTCAGAGTCAAAGCTATGGCCACTCTCATTTCCAGTTAGCTTTGACCCAAGTCTGCCTCCCTCCATGCTTCCAAAACAAGAAAAAGAATATTATTTGAGGCTTTTTTTGTGTGTAATACATCTTCTCTGTTTAGTGATGGCATAGTTTCTATTTCAATCTTTTGAATCAACAAATGGGGAAACAAGGCCCAAAGAGCAAAAATAACTTCCTGAAAGTTAAGAGTTGGCAATGGGTCCCCAGGTTCTCACCCCTCTGACTTATCCCGCCTTCCAGCCTGCTACACACTGAGTCAGAGGACACACTTGAACAGAAATGTTTATTTTCCTAACTTTTCAAGGTTCTTTTAATAACTGGAGAAAATACCATATTAATTGCCCTAAAAGTTATCACAAGAGTAATTTGCTTGCCTTCCTACATTCTTTTGGACAAATGTGTATTTATTTATAAAAATATTCTTCCCCATTTGGTAACTTAAAAATCTTTATAAAAAAAATCTTTATATTTGCATTTAAAAACCAGCATACGTAATTAAGAGCTGATGTAAGACACACAGTCCATAAGAAAGGTAAGGGATGTGAATTTCCAGAAATTTTCAGACGGAATATGGAAATTAAAAAGTTTGATGCCATTTTTAGTAGTTGATTTTTGGTATACTATGATGTGGTGTTAACTAGGACAGCTAAATTTGGAAAAGTACCAGGAAGCAAATAATATCTACAGGGAGGCCTTTCCCCAGGGACCAACTCTTCCCTAACGGAGACTGGGTGGCTTAAACAATAGAAATTTATTTTCTCACAGTTCTGGAGAGTGGAAGTCTATGATCAAGGTTCTGATCAATTCAGTTTCTGGCGAGGTCCGTGTCCTGGCTCATAGACAGGGCTCTGCACGTGTCCTCACAGGCCTTCTTCAGTGAGTTCCCAAGGACAGAGTGCGGGAGCTGCCTGGTGTTTCTTCTGTAAGGACATCACTCCTCCTGGATCAGGGCCCTACCCTCCAGACCACTTTGAATCCTACTTACTTCCTCAGATGCCCCGTCTCCAAAACAGCCACATGGGGTTTAGGGCTTCAACCTGTGAATTTGGGTTGGTCACAAACATTCAGTCTATAATAGATAGTAATGTTAAAATGTCTTAAATTACATTAAAAAATATAAATTGTATAAAATATGAATCAGAACCATAGTTTATAATATATGCTTATATTTTTATAATATACAGAAAATTGGAAACATTTGAAATTCCATAAACACAAGAAGCAAAATATTTATTAAATTCCAAATTATGTTGAATATCATTAACAATTTAGTGATCACTAATCATGCATACAACTTGAACTGCTACATACATATCCTGAAGTTCAAAGCATCAGGGAATAAAACTTCAGACACTAACTTTTAACAAACTGTTTGTGGATGATTTTAATTAGAATTCAAAGAGCACCAAGCACAATAACTGGAACAGAAAGAGTTTAGACACAGGTCCTTGAATCAGAGCACACAGCCAACTGCAGCCAGAGGGCAAAGTGACAGTCCAAGGGGAGGGCAGGGTCAGCACCACACAGGAGGAGCCAAGAATAAAAATCTGGATTGTGAGTAAACAGGAAGGGAGACTTGTTTTCTGCCCAGTGCTGCCTGAATGGCAGCACTTGCCCCTTGAACTGTTATGGTCTAGGGGTTCCGAGGCAGGACCTGCCAGGAAGTTGAGCTTCAAATCCAAATTTGCTCATTCTAAGACCCAGCCCACATCCCTGCCCAAGGGTCTCAAGCTCCAGCCAGTGATGTACAGCAGGATTCCCAAGTTTTCCTTGTAGTGGAAACTGCCGTGCTGAGAGGTGAGTCTGGTAGCCCAAGTGCACTGAGACTACTTAGACTACTCTTCACAAATGGTAGCAGGTGACCTGTAAAGGCTTAGTCTTTAGTGACATAGTAGTAAGTGGGTAAATAATTAGTGCTTCCAAGTCAGAACTTTACCAAACATTCCAAAGAAACACAGCCATGTTGGCAGACAAGATGGACTTCAGAATTCAATGTCTTTTTGCTCATCTCTTCCTAATTCACATCTTTTATGCCAGTAAGACTGTTCGCGGATCATGCTGTTAATATGCTCCCTTCTTTTCTGAGCCTCCAAGCCAGTCACACAGATGGCCTTCACCTGTGGGCCTCCATACCCCACGTCAGATCAGGGTGCCTGCCTCCACTATGGGTGCCAAGCAAACAACTTCTACTAGTACCCAGCCCTGCTTCCTGTGAATGCTAAATGGCCTCTGGGTGCCAGGCACTTGCCGGGTGCTGGGGTTATTTAAACAGTGGCCTGAGGTCCTGGGGCTTAGAGAAATACTCTAAACCTAAATATGAGGAGGTAATTCTAAAGAAAAAGATATACAGATATGTGACATGGTGAAAAATTTGAAATGCAGATTTGTCTTTACATGTGTTACATATTTATTCACATAACAGATGCACGGAGATCAAACATTGTAATAGGATAACACCCCCAGAGTTGGGCATAAGGTCAGAAAATTGAAGGTAAAAAGATGGATATAAACTGTTGCTGAGTTTGCTTTCTACAGCAGTAACTGCATCAGTGATGACTGTCCAAGTGTCACTGATGGGAGTCCAGTGTCTCACAGACCCAATCTAGGAAACAATGTTTCCTAAATCTGACCAAAGTGACTAAAATACATCCAGAGGAAAACATGATTATAATAATGCTGATGTTGGGAAATGATAATTCACTCAACTCTGTGTATGGTGTCTAAGGTTATAATGTTGTCAAAACAAAGAGACAAAATGGGCTGTCACCATGGAATCCAGAAAAAAACGAGCGCAAATGATAAAAATTTCAAGTCTACTGGATTCACTTTAGGTGAGTGGTGCTAAATATAAGAGAAGCTAAATGCAGAAAGGCTCTGTGTAGGCCACCAGCAGAATTTAAGCTGTAGTTCTGGGCAGCATCCTCTTACATCTGATCAAAGACATTCTTCTTACATAGCCATAAAACAATTTATAAGACTAATCCAGAAAACTTAACCTTGATTACAAGATTAGAGTCCATACTGAATGGACTTTTCCTTTCAAAGGAAATGCAAATTCAACCACAGAAGCCTTGAAGGACCAGCCTAGGTCTTCTCTGATTTCCATAAGGGAGCTAGAACCCTGAGGTATCACAAAGCACCCTACATAAAATGTTTCTCAGAATTTCTCTTTCTAGTTATGGTCCCTCTTTCCAAAATTCCATACTCGTGCAGACCCAGCATCACCTTTGTAGGCCCTTGGCCATGGGGTGTCCCCAGGCCTCCTTCCCCTGGGCTGGTACCTGCCAGTATGACTGCCCCCAACCCTGGCTTGAAAAGTTAGAGGTTTCCCCAGGCCCTCTGCTCCTTTAGCCAGATGAAAACACAGGCCTTCTCTTTCACTGCTTTTTGAACGGTACTTGCCCATGATGATCTGTGATGAATTAAAACCCTCCATCCCATCACCATACTTAAAACATATACAAAACATATACAAAGATGGGAGAAGAGCTTCATAAACTCCCATGTACCTATCACCCATTCAACAATGCTCAACCCACCAGCTTGTCCCATTATTTCTTATACATTCTTACCAACCACTTTCCCTTTAGATTTTGAAGCAAATACTAGACATAAAATCATGTCATTCATCAATAAATTCAGTATATACCTCTAAAGGATAATTCTCCATCTGAAGAGCCTCAAATCTAAAGACAAGTCACAGCCACTTATATATCCCACACCTAGATTTACCAGTTAAGATTTTGTCATATTTGCGTGTGTTTTACTAAACTATCTGGGAGAAACTTGCAGATATCTTGACCCCTCACCTGTAAACACTTACCTGTTAAGATCAAAGACATTCTTCTTACATAGCCATTAAACAATGTATAAGACTAATCCAGAACACAACCTTGATTACAAGACTAGAGTCCATACTGAAACTGCAATCATGTTTGTTCTAGCTCACACTACTTGGATGGACGATCAAAGCAAGGACTGCACGCTGCTTTCAGCTGTTATGTTTCCCTAATTGGGAAGAGTTTCAACATTTCAGTCCTTTGTGTCCTTGACATTGTTGAAGATTATGGGTCAATGGTTTTACAGAGCGTCCTCAGTTATGTTTGTGATGGTTCCTCTGGTTAGTGGGTACACTTTTGGCAAGAACATCATCATTGAGATGTCACATGTCAGTAGACCACCTCACTGGGGTTGCCAACTTTCATTCCTTGAAGAAGATGGGGTCCAAGTGTATCTACTGTACAAATGCCCTTCCTGCTTAATAAGTGATAAGCAATTAATAGGCTGTGAAGTGGCATACATGACCTGCTCCTCAATGAAGCTTCACACAAGGATTTTAGCATCCACTGGTGATTCCTGAAGGGTAAGCTCTGTGCCAGCTGCACTGTGGGGCTGTTATAAATGATTCTTTCTCCACTTGCTGCTCCTTCTTCTCTGGATTCTTGTTTTACTTACCTGTTTATTTATATTTCTTAGTATGAACTCATGCATCCTTTCCCAGTGTATCCCAGCTTATTGCCGTCACTATTCATTTTGATACTCCCACCTAACCAAGCTGTTTCCTTACTATATTTCCGTTGGGCCAGCTTTTTGGAGCCAGCCATCCTCCAGGGCTTAGAAACTTATGAGCCAAGCCCCTCTTGCCTCATAAAATCTCCTCCACTGTCAAACCCAAAGTCCAACATAGCTCACAGGACCCTTGGGATTCTTGCCTTGCTTGTCCCTTGAGGCTCCTGAGCCTCCACCACCTCTCCAACTTGGCCTTTTGTTCTGTCATCTTCAATTCTTGTGCTCTCTGGCCTGGTCTCTCCCTCCATGCTGGAAAGCTATGGCAGCTCACAGCCTTGTTTCTTTGGTCCTGGCTTACTCACTCTCTCTGGTTCCTTCCCCCATGGCTCTGGCCCCTCCCTGGTGCTTGCCCCTGGGTCTGTGTCACTCCACATATCCTCACCCTTCTTAGTCCCTTCCTGCCTGCTCACTGCCCTTACTACACAGCCCCTGAGGGGGAGTAGGGACCTGCTGAGTGTTTGTTTAATTAATGGGTAAATGAATAGTTTTAAATCATTAGGAATAAAGTTTGAGCTGTGCAGTTAAGCCACAAATGAGTTTGCTAACACACAGGTAAGGTAATTTTCAAAGATGAAATACTCAATAGAGCAAAAGTGTTTTTCACAGAAGATGCTGGCAGAATGAAAGAAAACATTCTCAGATACTAGCTGAAATATAGGCCTTTACTATGAGAATGTCTTGCTCTTTTCAATTCAGCAGATGTTTATTAAGAAGATACTACTCCCACCCCCACAGCAAACATGCACATGCATATGGTGCCAGGCATCGCTCTGACCCTCTCTGCCCTTGTGGAACTGACCCTTAGTGGTGCTGACAATCACATACATGGAAAATCACCATGGCTTTAATAGAGCTATGAAGAGTATTGGGAGGATCCACAGGCAAACCAGCTACTGAAAAGGGACATTCAAGTGGTTGACAGTTGAGCTGTAACTTGAACAATAAGCCAGATTTCACCAGAAGTGGAGCAGAGGGGGATCCCTCCAGGCAGAGGGAAGAGCTCAGAGGAAGGACACTGAAGACTGAGGCGTTTGGAGATGGAATGAGCTCCAGTGCTCCACCAAGAGCAGCAAACCCCAGGGAACCTACGTCTAGTCTGGGCCATTCCTGAGCAGGACTCAGGACACCATGGGGACTGCTGGCTGATCTGCCTTTTGGGGACAGTGCCATCCTGGAGGATGAAGTTTGTGCCTTACTAATGCCTACACCCAGTGAACACCCTGGTGCCTTCATCTTCACAAATGCTTGGTGAGTGACTGGCTGGCAGGCTGGGGCATCAGAGGCTTGGGCTGAGGCAGATGGCCCTGCATGTGAAGGACTGCCTTATCTATGCCAACACGCAGGGGCAGTAGCTGAATCACAGGGCCATGGTGAGGGGACATGGACGCATCAGCCATCCACCATGCTATCCAAACACAGTGGAAGAGAAGAACCAGCAGGCAAAGCCTCCTATGAGGAAAAAGGAAAGAGCCTTTGGGTGGGGCTCGACATGGGAAGTGTGTGTGACCATGTTGAGAAACTTACACTAGAAATGGCTTTTAAAGATATATCTTTCAAAGTAGAGATGCCATAAACCACGGTAAAAATGGGTTTCTTTTGAAACAGGAAGAAAAATCATCAGGAACAAAAAGCCAGTTTGGGCTGTTAGGAAGGTTCATGCAATGTGAACAGAAATGAGAGGTGCCCAGACAATACAAGGAACCTTTCCCTCCCCCAACATTTAGTCTCTCTGGAAATTGGAAATTTGCATATCGCAATGTCTGCCAGAATGCAGAGACAGCAGGGAAGATGGTGTTACTTACCAACTTTGGAGGGTCCTGATCTTTGCAGGTGAACCAAGCGCAGGGCTGGGGAGTGTGGGTAATTATTTCAACGCGACCGCCAGGTTGTCTGGGAAGTGACCTGCAGACCCTTCTTCTGAAATAGTTCAGGCTTTCAGTACTGGAGACCTCAGTCCTCAGGACTTTTATCCTCCAAGTCCTTGCTATCCGTCCAGCCTTCACCCGTAGTTTCCTAGCTCTGGGTGGGGCACAACACCTGGGTGTGGGCCAAACCCTAATTCATGCAAGTGTTTACGCTGGCATCAGTCACTTGGAGCAGCGTCTAGGGGTGGACATACTGTACTTTGTTCTCCCTCCACATACCACCGTCAGGGTGGGTGAGCTATGCTTCAACACCCCTAAACGGCGAGCCGGCGGCTCTGCCAGGCCCCACCCCACGGGCACCGCCTCCCGCTCCCCGCAACCCCGGCCTCCACCGCACCGCCGTTCAACGCGGGCTGGGGTCGCTGCTCCTGACTGGGGGCGGGCAGGCGTCCCGGGAGGTTCTGGGGTTTGCTGACCCGGTGTGAAGGACGCAGGTGTCTGGGGGAGTGCTGGGGGTCGTAGAGAGGCAGGGGTCGCTAACCCGGGATGGGGGGGGCTCAGGGGCCCCAGGGGGTGCTGGGGGTCGCTCTCTTGGGCTGAGTGGGGTAGGTGTCCTGAGAGGTGCTGGGGTTTGCTGACCCGGAGTTAAGGGGGCAGATGTTCGGGGGCTGCTGGTGTTGTGGGGGGGCGGAGGTCGCTGGCCCAGGGTAAGGGGGTGCAGGCGTTCCGGGGGGCTACTAGGAGTAGCTATCCAGGGGAGGGGCAAGGGTCGTGGTCCAGGGGTGGGGGGCAGGAGTCCCAGGAGGGTTCTGAAGGTTATCTGATGGGGTGACGGTTGCTATCTGGAGGGTGAGGGGGTTTGGCATCGCGGACCCGCGTGGCCGGGATGCTGGGAGGTTGGAAACCCAGCCCGCAGAGCGGTCAGCATACCCAGCCCCACTGCGCCGCCTCCTTAAAGCGCTGCAAGGCTTGTGGAGACAGCGGGGTGGGGCCGGAATGCGTGCGCAGGGCGGGGCGAGGCTGCGTGAACACCCTCGCCAATCACAAGTGCCGGAGGGAGGGGCGCGCGCGAAGAGGCCGGGAAGCGGAGGCGAACCGGGCGCTGCGAGCGGCCAATTGGGACATCCTAACGCCATGACGTAAAGCTCTCCTGGACGGGTGTCTAGGCGGTGAGTGCGCAGTGCGCGGGCGCGCGGGGCGGGACTTCCGCCGGGCCCCGGAAGTGGAGCTGTGTGTTCTCATGCGAACGGGAAGGAGCGTTGGGGCGACAGAGTCGCGAGGTTGAGACATTTTCGGCCCGAAACGGGAAGGAAACGGCGCCGCCGCCGCCGCCGTAGCCTGCCCGCCCCGCCCCCGCCGCTCGTCCTGCCGGCCGCGCCCTCCCGCGCCCCTCCTTCACGGCCCGTCCGCGTGCGGCGCGGTCGCCGGCTCCGGGGCTGCGGCGGTCGGCGGCCGGGCGGCGGTGGTGCTGACAGGTGAGCGTGGAAGCCGCGGCAGCTTCAGCCTGCGCTGCCCGCCTCCAGCCCGGGCTGGCGCCGCCGCCGCCAGGCCGCCATCTTCCCGGAGGACGCGGCGGGGCCGACCGGGTGGGGGCCGGCGGGCCGGGGCCGCGGCCGGGCCGGGTGGGGCCGGGCCGGGCCAGTGCAGACGCAGGGCTGGGTCTGGGTACTGCCGGGCGGCAGGCGGGGCCGGGCAGGGCAGGGCCGGAGAGAGGCCAGGATGTCGGCAGGACCCAGACCGGCAGGCAGGCCGGGGTCGGGCGGGGCAGCGCCGAGGTCTCGGGCGGCGCTGGGACATGGGGCGGGCGGGGTCGGGGTCCGGGCAGGGCTCGGTCCGGTTGGGCAGGGCCGGGGTCCGAGCAGCGTCGCTCTCGCCCGCACTGCGACGGCCTCACCCTGCCCGCCGGCCGAGCCGGGAGGGGACGGGGTCATTCGGACCAGGAAGTGGGATCCTGTTACTCGGGGTGCATTTGGGAGGCTTCCGTACTCTTCTCGGTAGGCTTGAGCAGAGGCAGATGCTGTGGGAATTAGAAAAATCAAACCTAGGGATTCCCCGCGTTGAAAATAGGGCCACAGGGACAGGTCAGGATTCTCTTCCCACCTGCTTCTGCGTCTAACCAATCAGAACGTGAACCCAAGAGCTGTTCAGACTTCAGTGTTATTTTGTATTGCAACTCTTCGTGCATGTAATCTTGTTTTCCCCCTATTTTTGTGGAACACAGTCTTTTATTTTGGCTGAGATGAAAACTGGGAAAATTATCTGTAGAGTAGCTCTTCTGCGTTGGAGATCTCCCTGACTATCCGTAACGTCTCCTGATTTTAAGTGGAAGTTGGAGGGTTTGTGTAACTGAGGGAACGGAAGGAGTTCCCTGGATTGTAAGGAAATGGTAAGCGTGAGAGTCTCGAGAAAAGATAAATAACCAATTTGAAGACGAATATTGTAAGTAAGCATACAAGTTATTTTCCCTTTTGAAAAATATTTTTCTGTTACGGTATTGAACTGGCCTCTTATTTTAAGTTATATTACTTAAAAATGAACTTGAAATAGGTGCTGAGGTGTAGTTTGAACAGGACTCACCATCGGAAAGAGTCCTGTTCACTTCTCTGGTGGTCACATACTATGTGCAGCGTGGAAGTTCAGACTTCACCACCTGTCTGGCTCCCTCAGTTTACAGTCCGGGTAGTTTACAGAACTTGAAATGTGGCTGTTCAACTTTTCTATGTATTTAATATACGGAAGGGCATTTTTATAATCAGGCTATAAGGAATCCCTTGACCGAAGTTGGCTTGAGTTGCTAAAGTGAACTACTTTCTGAAAGGCATAAGACTAGCAAGTTTATTATCCAACCATAAATTTGATTTGTGTATTTCTCTTTGAAACTTTCCTTTGGTTATAAATTAATTTCATCCTGTATTTTGAAAAAATATCATGAGTTGGCTTATTTTCTTGAAAGAATGGATGGCTTCATACTGTTTAGCAATGACTTAACTCTCTTGATTCTTCATCTCTAAAAGGGGCATAGTAATATTGACCTTATAGGGCTATTGTAACACCTTGATGTTGGTTGGCTGTTTTCACTTCTTTTTTTATTACTGAGATGCTTATTCAGAATTTTTAAATTTTGCATTGGAGTCAGAGAGAAAATAGATGATAATATGAGTACAAAAGTTTCCTAGCATTTATTAGTTTATTTTGGAGAAGAGTAGCTGAAGTGAAAGCACATTCAGGGAGAAATTTAATTTTATTTCATGTGGGATTTTGCTTTTCAAAAATTGTGCTTTAGGGATTGTGCTTTAAAGAAATTTGAAATTTGGAAAATTTATTGAACTTAATATGATTTCCACAAATAAGCACACATTTTGAGAAATACATATTTAAACTGTGGAAACAAGTATTTGACTTAGTCACTAGTTTTTATGAGACAGTCCTCACATATCAAAAACATAAACAAAATACTTCAGTGTGAGTTGGGAACCTCAGGTTGCTAATAGTAGTAAACAGTGCCTTCATGTAGCCCCACAGCCAGTAGATCTGCAATGGTTTGGAGTTCCTGTGGTGTTAGACTTATGGCATATTAGGACCAACAAGTGGCCCATTCGCTGCCATCAAAGTGTCATGCCAGAGTTCATACCTATGATTAGAATCTAGGTCTTCTGAGTCTAGTAACGTGTTATCTTTAATAGGTCCCTTGAGATTATAAAGAGCTGTGAAGTTATGCATTATTTTAAATTCCATTTGTTATTGTCTTAATCTTAAAGGTAGAGGTCTTAAATATGCTTTTGTACCACATACTTATACAAAGTTCTCATATTTTAGGATTTTTCTCTTGAGATTGGCAAATGTAAGAAAATCTCAGTATATTCTGGTAATTCCTCTTAGACTCAGTCTTTTTCTAATGGAGGGAAGAAAACATACTGAAAGTCTGTTTATGGAAAATACATCATTGAAAAACAGACACTGATCCTGGGTTTTGTTGCTTATGATCTTTTGTAAAACGTTATTCCTGTAAAGAGTTCTCCGTTTCTGTAAGAGCTGATTTACATGTGCACAGGGAAGAGACACTGCCTTCTGAAAGGGCTAAACTCACCAGACTTGATCTTAGTTAACTTCAGTTCAGTTCAAACTTTTTGTTCCTGAGGTTGTACTTGTTAGTGGTATCTTTGGAGCTACACTACTTCTCCTGGTGTTGTCTTAACTAGAAAATGAATTTCTGTATTATAATTTGAAATTGTAAGTAGAAAGACATTAGGTTCTCTTATTAAAAGAAGGAAGATAATTCCAACGTGGAAATGTTTTTTTCCTAATGTTCTAGCACTTGAGGGAAAATTGTTAACAGGTTTATGTTTCCTTCCATTCTCATCTTCCCCCACACTGAACCCCCCCATACCTTTAATCTCTTCAGTATCTTTACAAACTGTCTTTTCATCATTTTTTTTGGTGAGACTATCGTGGCTCCTGTTGAGTCTTGAATGTTGCAGGTAAGTGACGCCACCACTTCTGTACCTCTGTCTCCACTTGAGACCTGGGCTGCAGAGTGCATTGTGTAACAATGAAGATGTTTCATATTGACACTGAATTCGTTGAAAGCATTCTGCTTAACTTTTAGGGGAGTTTGATAATCATTAAGTCAAGAGTTAGTCTTCATTGAAATGTTCTTCATTAAATCTTACATTCAAAAGTTTTGGCTTAAAAGCTGATAAATTAGAATTAGGGTGGTATTTATGTGTGGCAAAATAAGATCCTTTCTTTTATTTACACAGACCATTCTAGTCACTCCAGCCAGAGTTGCAGTAAAGTCATGCTCTGATTGTTAGGCCCTTTTAAAAAACTACTCGGTGACCACTGTCCCCTGCCTACATAAGAAACACTTTCCCATCTCTGCCTCCTTGCTGGCTCGGCTGCCTTTGGTTGGCCTGCACTGACAGCTGCCTTCCCTGGAAACCTTGTGCAGCCTTGTTCCCTGGGTTTCTTTGCCTGAAATTAATGCCTGCCTTTTTTTTTGAACTTAGCTCCTTAACCCATCCTTGTAAAGGAGCCCTCCAGGAATCCTTGCCTTAATTTCTTTTTTTTTAAATTTTATTTTGGTATCATTAATCTACAATTACATGAAGAACATTATGTTTACTAGGCTCCCCCTTCACCAAGTACCCCCCACATACCCCTTCACAGTCACTGTCCATCTGCGTAGCAAGATACTGTAAAATGACTACTTGTCTTCTCTGTGTTGCACAGCCCTACTGGTGCCCCACACACATTATACTTACATTTGCCATGCTGATTGTAATGCCCTCTTTCTTTTTCCCCACCCTTATCCCTCCCTTCCCACCCATCCTCCCACCCATCCTCCCCAGTTCCTTTCCCTTTGGTAACTGTTAGTCCATTCTTGGGTTCTGTGATTCTGCTGCTATTTTGTTCCTTCAGTTTTCCTTTGTTATACTCCACATATGAGTGAATCCTTGCCTTAATTTCTAAGGTCATGCAGAACACATCTCTTTTCCCATCGCATCTAATTAATTAAGCAAACTGCTTGTGGGCAAGATCCTTTTATGTCTGTAACGTTTTTGCCCAACCCAGGGCCAGGCACACTGTACAGATCTTCCTGGATATACAATGGTATTCTGTCTGGATAAACCCATTATAGGCTGAGAATATCATAAGTCAAAACTGCACTTAGTATACATAACTTCCTGCACCTCACAACTTAGCTTAGCCACCGTAAACATGCTGAGAACATTCATATGAGCCTACATTTGGGCAAAGTCACCTAACACAAAACCTGTTTGAAAATCAAGTGTTGACTGTCATGTAAAGCATTGAACACTGTGCTGAAGTGAAAAACAAAACGGTTGTCTGGGTGCAGAATGGTGGTCGGTGTATTGCTTGTTGAGTTACAATGATGAACAAAAGGGATAAGTTGACCTCCTTTTTGGAGCTTGCTGTCCACTGAGGAGGTAGACAATCA